ACAGCATTTTTGGAAGAGGTCAAAAAACTGCTTATTAATAGTGATTTTTCATTGGAAGAAAGAAAACGTGTTTCCTTTAGGAGTGATACATTTATACCATCAAAAAACATTTTCAAATGATAAAAAATGAGGTCCAAGAAGAAGAATATGTGTGGGTAGAGTTTATTTCTCTAAATTATGGGGTTTTGTTTTGTTTTTCCAATAGTAAGTTAAAATTTCTTCTTGTGAGTGCACCCACAATTATCTACACAGCTTCACATTCATGGTTGTTGTTGTTGTTAGTTGTTGTCAAGTTATCTCCAACTTATAGTGACCTTAAGTATAATAGAATGAAATGTGACCACGTCCTGTGCCATCTCCATGATCATCACTTTCATAGTGCTGAAGTGCCTAAGGCACTTGACTGCTAACCAGAAGTCTGGAGGTTCAAACCCACCATCCACTCCTCCGAAATAAGACTGGGCAATCTACTGCTGTAGTGATACTGCCTCGGAAACCCAATGAGGGGTCACTATGAGTCAGATCTGACTCGACAACAGTGAGCTTGGTTTTGCGTTTGAAGTTGTATTTATAAACTGAAGCTTCCAGGTTTATAGTAAGAGCATGATGCTATGTTGTTTTATGTGCCGTCGAGTGGCACCCGACTCATAGCGACCCCTCCTTGGGTTTCTGAGGCAGTATCACTACAGAGGTAGATTGGCCAACCTTCCTTCCGAGGAGTGGCTGGTGGGTTTGAACCGCCAGCCTTCTGGTTAGCAGTCAAGTGATGAAATTTTTTAAGACCAACTTGGTGAAATTTGTTTTTGTCTTCGTTTTATTTAAGTATAAGAAATATTTTAACTTCATAGGAAAAGGGAAGCTGTTAAACAATGTTAACTCCTAACAACCAATTACTTGATGTTAACACAATGTGTATCCATATTTAACACAATTGTCTTAGTTATCTAGTGTTGCTATAACAGAAACCAAACATAGATGGCTTTAATAAACAGAAATTTATTTTCTTACTGTTTCCCAAACAAACCAAACCCACTGCCATTGAGTCGATTCTGACTCATAGCAACACTTTTTTTTTTTTTTTAAGAATGGAGTAGAACTGCCCCACAAGGCTATACAACCTTATTGAAGCACACTGCCTCATCTTTCTCCCGTGGATGGCTGGTAGGTTTGAGCTGCTGACCTTTAGTTTAGCAGCCAAATACTTTAGCCTCTATGCCACTAGAGCTACTTTCTCAAAACATCCAAAAACAAACAAACTCACTGCCATTGTGTCAATTCCGACTCATAGAGACCCCGTTTGAGTTTCTGAGGTGGTAAATCTTTACAGATTGTCCAGTCTTCATTCTGCGGAGTGGCTGGTGGGTTTGAACTTCCAACCTTCTAGTTAGCAGTCAAATGCCCTAGTGGGAGGCTAAAAGTCCAAATTTAAGGTGGCAGCTCTGGAGGAAGTCTTTCTCTCTGTTGGCTCTGGAGGAAGGTCCTTGTCTCTTCTGAGCTGCTACTCCTAGGTGATCTTCATGTGACTTGTCCTCTCTCTTCCTCCATCTCTGTTTGCTAGCTTGCATTTAATATCTTTCATATCTCAAAAGAGGTTAACTCCAGATCCACTCTGCACTAATCCTGCCTCATTTATATAACAAAGTCAACCCATTCCTAAATAGGATTATGACCACAGGCATAGAAGTTAGGGTTTACAATACATATTTTGTGGAGACACAATTCAATCCATAACATCAATGCATGTGATATTTTTAATACTATGTATTTTATAACCCTATGGAGCAGTTCTACTCTGTCCTATATGCTGCTATGATTGAGAATCGACTGGATGGATGACAGTGTGTTTAGTTTGATATGTATGTTTATACATATATATAAATGTGTGTGTGTGTGTGTGTGCATATAATGTTGACTCTTATTATACTGGAAAACATATCTCAGTGTAACTTACTTTTTATTACAAAAGCAACCCTGATTGTACAAAATTTGGGAAAAATACTAATCCCATTGAATATACAATAAGATTCATGGAGCAACACAGTCAGTATCACCTGGGAGCTTGTTAGAGACACAGAACTTCAGGCCTCTCCAGACCTGCTGAATCAGAATGTACCTTTTAACAGGATCCCTAAGTGTGCACATTAAAGTTTGAGAAGCACTAGTCTAAAATATAAGTGTTTAAAGCATTTGGCTATTAACCAAAAGCTTGGTGGTTCAAACCCACCAGCTGCTCCATGGAAGAAAGATGGGGCAGTCTGCTTCTGCAAAGATTTACAGCCATGAAAACCCAATGGGGGTCACTTTGAGTCAGAATCAACTCTATGGCAGTGAGTTGTGATTTTTTTTTTTTTTTTTTGAGGCTAAAATATAAATCACCCTTAATCTCCCCACCCAGAGATAATGACTATCAATCTTCTACTATTTTCTTTTTTTAATTAGCCTTTCTTTTCTTGAAAGTCTACTTTTGTTAATTTTCTGACTCATACATGATATGTCTAAGCAAAATATCAATAGAGTGCTATAATTTCAAAGAATTCAGTTCTTTAGACTTAGTGAAGTATATATCATAAAACAATTTCTAAATAATTTGAAGTGTATCTGTTTAAATAAAGGAATTTGTTTTGTATCTAAAATTACTAAGAGTAGTTTTTAAGCGTGCTATAAAAATTATCCTTTTTTCTCAATAAAGGTAAGATTTATGTCTGTCTATTGTTTACAACTTCCTTTTTTCTAAATTATTATCAATCTAATGTAAAAGTAAATTTTACCCATAAAAATTAAATAACTACCACTGACTAGTATTCATTTAAGCCAGAAATCCTGCCAGCTGTTTTACACATATTATTTCATTAAACCATCACATTAACCCTTTGAGATAAGGATATGTTCTCTCCATTTTATGAATGAAGAAACCAGACCTTATAAAGGTTGAATCACTTGTCCAATAACTCAGAGCTGGTAATAACATAATCCTAGCATAGAGCCTAAGGCATTTGACTGCTAACCAGAAGGCTGGCGGTTCAAACCCACCAGCCACTCCTTGGAAGGAAGGTTGGGCATTCTACTTCTGTAGTGATACCACCTCAGAAACCCAAAGAGGGGTTGCTGTGAGTTAGGTCCGACTTGACGGCACATAACAACAACAACAAAATTGAAAACAAAGATAATAAACATTATATTGTTTTAAAAACCCCATTTTTGAGAAACTGTCACAGACCAGAGAAGGCTAAGGAGGCATGATAATTAAATGTGGTATCTTGGATGGGATCCAGGAACACAAAAATGACATTAGGAAAAAATGAATGAAATCTGAATAAACTGTGGAGTTGAATTAATGTACCAAAGTCACATGGAAGAAAGGCCTGGCAATCTACTTCTGAAAATCACAGTGGTCCAATTCACACTGATCTTGGCAATGGCACATGACCAGGCAGCATTATTTTTTCCATTGTGCATGGGGCTGCCATGAGTTAGGTGCCAACTGGACATCAGTCAACAACAACAACCAGAGTAATGTAAGATTTTACCAGTAGGAAAAATTGGATGAGGGTATATGGGAACTCTCTGAACATTCTTTGCAACTTCCCTCCAAATCTAAAACGATTCTAAAATAAAAAGTTTCTTTAGAAGAAACTGTTACAGGCCAAGAGTATTAGTCCAGCAGTGTTCGGGGGTGAGGGGTAGGGCACAAAAAACGATAATAAAACCTCTTTCTCCACAGAGAGTTTGAAAAGCATTGGTCTATAAAACCTGTGCTCCAAGACAACTTTGACTTTTCCTCCACTTAGGTTTTAACTTTTATTATACTAACCGAGATGGTTTTGAACTCCTTGTTACTTCCTCAAAATATTTTTCTCTTAAAGTCCTGAAAAGTCTGAAGTCACAGTACTTTGTTCTTTGTTCTTCTCTTATCCACCCCCATCATATTTTGCTGCAAACCTTGTCATTGTCAGCTACAGCTGATGGGCTTTGTAAGTGGTTTGTGATTTCTTTCTGTTCTTGGTGTTCCAGAGTTATTTAAGTTCATTAAAGGGAACATTTGGGCTTGGCAATTTGTCACCAAGAGCCAGGTACAACCAGCTCATTACCAAGCCATCTGATATTCAGCAATAAGACACAAAAGTGTGACCATAGCAAGCAGTATAGTTATATACTTAATAAAATTCACATTTGATTGCAAATTAAGTCACACAAGTATTCTTTATCCTGTTCCCTATTTACAGTTTCAGAAGGTACCTTCTTCTTCTATAAAATCTGATAAGTCCATGATCTAGGTGTCTTCCATAATGGGCAAACTATATGCACCACTTTCTGGTTATATTGTTAATGTTCAGGTGATTATATCCAAATGACTTTCTTTTACTGGTTTTGGAAATTGTCTAATTAATGAATCTAAAAGAATCATAAACATGCTGTATAAACAAATAGCTTTTGTTGTTGTTATGTGCCGTTGAGTCAGACCTGATTCATAGCAACCTCTTCTTGGATTTCCAAGGTGGTATCACTACGGAAGTAGATTGCTCAACCTTCCTTTCGAGGAGTGGCTGGTGGGTTTGAACTGCCAGCCTTCTGGTTAGCAGTCATGTGCCTTAAGCACTATGCTACCAGAGCTCTAATAAATAAATAGCTGTAGTATGGTAAAGTCCTCTGCACACTGTTAGACAGGGTTTATATTTTAGGTGAAAGGACAATGGGAGGGGATTGCCTATAAACCGGTAAACAAGGCAGTTATCATCTAGATAGTACTTTAAGTGGCTCTATGACATTTATTTGATCTCAGTAGTAAGATATGTGAAGGAAAATTTTATATTTCAGATAGTTTAGGCTTTTATTTCTTTTGCCACTGACATCTATCTAAATTTTTTACATTTATTATGAAATATTACCTGGGGTTTATTTTCTTCTGTGTTTTAAATTGGATGGGGTGGGGGTGGAATTCCTCCATCAATTTAAAATCATGAAATGCCCTCTTTAAAAGTCATCCCCTTTAATATTCTCAGACAATCGTTAGAGGAAACAAGCCCTGCAAGGAAACCTCCATTAACGGCCTGCTAGAGGACTTCGACAATATCTCTGTGACTCGCTCCAATTCCTTAAGGAAAGAAAGCCCACCCACCCCAGATCAGGGAGCCTCTAGCCACAGTCCACGCCGTTCGGAAGAAAATGGCTTCATCACCTTCTCGCAATATTCCAGTGAATCCGATACTACCACAGACTATACCACCGAGAAGTACAGAGAAAAGAGTCTCTACGGAGATGATTTGGATCAGTATTATAAATGCAGCTACTCAGCCAAGCAAAACGGCCACGTAATGAAAATGAAACACGGGGAAGCCTACTATTCTGAAATGAAGCCTTTGAAATCCAATATTTCCAGATTTCCTGTCGATTATCACACACACTTGGACTCACTGAGCAAACCAAATGATTACAGTGACCTCAAGTGGGAGTATCAGAGAGCCTCAAGTAGCTCCCCGCTGGACTACCGAGACCCATTCCAATTCACTCCTTCTAGAACTGCAGGGACCAGTGGGTGCTCGAAAGAAAGCCTGGCGTACAGCGAATGTGAATGGGGACCCAGCCTGGATGACTATGACAGGAGGCCAAAGTCGTCGTACCTGCATCAAACAAGCCCCCAGCCGGCCATGCGGCAGAGGTCCAGGTCAGGCTCAGGGCTCCAGGAGCCCATGATGCAGTTTGGATCAAGTGCGTTTAAGACCCACCCCCAAGGACTCTCCTACAACTCATACACCTACCCTCGATTGTCCGAGCCCACAACGTACATTCCAAAGGTAATGTTCCCTTCCTCCTTTCCCTCTAGTGTGTGACAGCCTCCACAAAGGTGGTGCTAGCATGGCCTTCTGATATGATCCCATTCTTAGTGCTCCTTTGCCTATTATGTGAGAATCCATATTGATTCCTACCTCATTTCCACCCATGAACCCAAGGGCAGAGCATGTAGGGCCAATGCCATCCAGCCATTGAAATTAAAGTCTGATTTTGGGGTTCTCCTACAAGGGTTCTGATGAAAAAGCAAAGAAAATTTCACTTATTAGAAAGATTCTCTGGTATACTAATGATTGATATTATGTTATCATATTGTACTAGTTCTCTGAAAGAGTGTACCATTCTAGACCATTAGATGGAGTAGTACAGTGGTCCGGCAATCTGAACCCCTGCAAAGTTTTACAGAGATCAGCTGCTGGAAAGGGGGAAAAAAATATCAGGATAATGTGGTAAGTTTTGAATAAGGCTAATTTTATTCCAGTATAATTTTTCTACTATTTGTGTTATAAAATATTACTTTTTAATGAAAGTTTGAAGATAATAGTATCTGTTTTCTGGATCTATTATATATATATATATATAAATATATATATATTGGTAAGCTTCTTGTTTTGTATTTTGTTGTTTTCACTCCTCGCTCAGTATTTTTTTTTTTTTAATTGTTGCTGTTGTTGTTGTTATGTGCCGTCGAGTCAGACCCAACTCATGGCAACCCCTCGTTTAATTGTTAGCTGCTGAAAATTTGCTTTGAAATTTGACTGTTCCCTGATCCACTAAAGTTTGGGATCCATTTTCAGAGAAGTTACTGAACACAAACACGCAGTCTTTTCCATGAGAGTCTAAGACTTTTGGCAAATACCTTCAAGACTGCAAGTCGTTTATTTTCCCATAGTGGCTTAAAAATGTCCATGCTGCCTCGCCTGTACAGCAAAAGTGAAAATGGGCATTTGTGGTGAGTTATGGATTATCTGGAGATCTCAAACCAGCCTTGAGAGGGTCAGGACTTCTAACAACAGGATCATGTACATGTGTGCCATATGCAGTCTCCTCAACAGCTTCAAAAGCAAATCTGCCTGCATGCATTTGCTTTATTGATTGTAGATGGTCAGCATTTTCCTTTGCTTATTATTT